AAAGTATCATATCATCAGCAAATAATGAGTTTCACTTCTTCCTTTCCTATCTTTATTCCTTTTATTTCTTTCTCTTGTCTAATTGCTATGGCTAATGTTTCCAGAACAGTATTGAACAGGAGTGGTGATAGTGGGCATCCTTTGTATCTGTCCTGTTTTTAAAAATATGCTGTATAGAGGGCCGGGGATTTAGCTCAGTGGTTCCGCTGCCTGCCTTGCAAGCACAAGGACCCGAGTTCGATCCCCGGTACAAAAAAAAAAGAAAAAAAAATATGCTGTGTAGAGGAGGCAGCAGGTACACATGGTTTGCCTTTGTTAACAGGTGCTCTGGATTGGTCCATGGAAAGCTTCAGTCCCTGCTCAGCCTTCTTTCGTATGGGCTTGGGATGACTTAACCAATCTCATATTAGGGGCCTTTGGTTGTCTCCCATTTGGGGGTATTAGAAACAATGTCACAGTAAGTAACCTCAGACCCATGCTATATACCATATATGCTACATGTGTTTAATTTCCACACATGGATGTGCTGGGTCAATGATACCTACATTTTCCATTCTAAAAGGTATTGCCAAGTTCTCTTTCGTGGGGGTTGTGATTTAATCTCCCTCCAACAGTATATAAAAGCACCTTTCCTACTGCACAGCCTTGTTAACAGAATGGTTATCAAGTGTTTGGATGTATGTAAATCTGATTGATGAAAAGTATATTCAAATGACTTTAATATGTATTTCTCTCTTTTTTGTTTGTTTGTTTTTGAGACAAGGTCTCACTATATAGTCCAGGCTGGCCTTGAACTCATGGCAATCCTCCTGCCTCAGTCTCCTGAGTACTAGAATTATAGGCACCACCACACCTGGCCCTGTATTTCTCTTATTTGAAGTTGAACATCATGTATTTAAAATACGTCATTTGTATTTCCTTTTGTGACAGTTGTCTGCTTATATCATTTACTCATTTTTCTGTTGGATTGTTACATCCATTTCTGGGAAATCTGTTAGGGGAATTAAACCATGGCCTGTGATATGGATTGTAAATGTTTTTTGCCAGTTCTGTATTGGCCTTTTGACCTTACTTATGATGGTTTTCTTTTTGCCATGCAGAAGCTGTTGATTTTTATTTTGTTGAATTTACCAAAGTTTTCTTTTGCAGCTTCTGTATTCTGAGCCATAGTTAGGCCTTCCTCATGCTAAGATCATAAAAACAATCTCCTAGGTGGTTTGTTCATCATGCTTTAATGGTCATTTTAAAAATACACGTATCTTTGGTGGGGGGGGATTTATCCTGATATGCCATTTGAAGTATAGGTTCAGGGTTATTTTAACTCTCTAACCTGTTGCTCCAAGACTAATTAATGAATAGCACTAATATTTGTTCTTAAAATTATTTTCAAGGTCTAAAATATTGAGCACTCTTGCCAAAGCCTTAGAAGAAGCCTCCCTCACCAAGGCCCAGCTGGGATTGGAGCTAGAAGAGCTGGAAGCAGCAGCCCTTCTCGTCCAGAAGGAGGAAACTGGTGGAAAAGCAGCCTCATTTGTGTCCACGCAGACTCTTGGCTCCAGTCCTGAGGCAAGTGACTCCGAGGGGTCGGAATCGGAATCGGAATCGGAATCGGAATCGGAATCGGAATCGGAAGAATCCGCACCAGGCAGCACCGCATCATCCAGCACTGAAGACTCTGCTTCAGATCAGGAGCTCGATGGGAGTCTGTCTGCGCCTGCGCCTGCGCCTTCTCTGCGAGACCCCTTTCTCCACATGAGCAGTACCCTGCTAGTCCATGAGGGTGTGGCCTGCGCGCCCGCAGCTTGCCAGAGACAGCCTCAGGCCCTGGCCCAGGCTCCTGAGGCCCGCGGGCCCCTGATAGAGGAGCTTGGAGAACAGCTGAAGACTACACTTCAGGTGTCCCAGCCTGAGGACGCCACCGCTGGGAGCCACATCAGTATGCAGGACTGTGAAGAGACGACAGATGCCCAGTGAGTGACTCACATGGTTTTGTTCGTGGTATGGAATTAGATCAGCTGTGGTTTCATCAACTGAGTTAGAACTCATTTTCCCTCTGTGCTTTTTCTTTGTATATGTAACATTGTTTTATAGTTTATATCTTGTGGTATGTTTATACCTTTTGGTTTCCTTGTAACTTGAAAAATGAAGTTCTAATGTACTTTTTCCAAGTGCAACTGATATTTAAAGATGAAAATGGCAGTTCCAAAATCTCTGTAGACTGTAGAGATTAATATGGCCTCATTAGTATCTTATTTTAGCTTTACTGGGGTGTTCTTGATGTACAGGAAAGTGCTCACACTTGAAATGTGCAATGTGATAAGTATTGACATATGACTACAGCAAGTGAGACCACCACCTCAGCCAGGGTAAGAGCTTCCCCTACCACCCCTAGGTGCCTTTGTAGGTCTTTGGTATCCTCCCCTCCCACCTGGCCAGATGCCACCCACCTGCATCCCTCACAAACCACTGAGCTGCTGTCACCATACTGTAGTTTGCATTTCCTAGAATTTTATATAAATTGAATCGTGCAATCTGTATTCCTTTTTTGGTCAGGCTTACTTCACTCTATAAATATTTTGCGGTTAATCCATGTAGTAACATGTGTCAAGGGATTGTTTTCATTGCTGAGCACTATTTCATTGAATAGATTTGTCCATTCACCTGCTGATGGGCATTTGTGTCATTTCCAGTTTAGAACTGTTACAAATAAAGCTGTTATGAACATTTGTGTACAAGTCTTTGTGTGGTCATATGCTTTCATTTCTCTAAGGTAAATATTTGGAAGTGGAATGGTTGGGCCATATGGTAGGTTTTATATATGTGCTTAACATTTTAAAAAGCTGCAGATCTGGTTTCCCTCATGGCTATACCATGTTATATCCCACCAGCCATGGGTAAGAGTTCCAGTCCTTTCCCATGCTTGTTGTCATTTGGTGTAGTCAGTCTTTATAAAATCCGGATGCAAGTCCTCCTTATGAGTCATGTTTTTCTGCTTCTTTGCATGCTTGGTAATCTTTAAAAGTCTGTATTTGATTTTGTTCAGTGCTAGATATGTACTCCTATCGATATTCTTTACCCTTGTTTTGGGGTGCAGCTAAGTGACTTGAACTAGATGGATCCTTGTGGGTCCCTGTTATGCAGGTTTAGAGCAGGTTTAGTTTAGGGCATATTATTAATCAGTGTTAATTCTGAGTGTTCCACCCAAGCCCCGGGAATGATGAATTTTGCCAGTCTGGTGATGGAAGTATGCTACCCTGCCTTTGAACCAGCCAACTGTGATCTGAAACCTCTACAAACTGTGAGCCAAAATAAAACTTTCCTCCTTTAACTTTGGCTGTTGGGTATTTTGTCCCAGCAATACGAAAAGTAACAAAGACAAGTGCTGAGTACTGTCCCTCTAATCCTGGAAGATGGTCCTTTCCCCAGGCCACATCACTACTCTCTTCAATACCTGAGGAGTATTCTTCTCTAAGCCCAGATATCCAGGGCTCCCTGGGCAGCTCTCTTCTCAGCAAGAGAGCTCTCCTCTCCTCTCCTCACCTCTCCTGCAAATACAGCTCCCTTGGTCTCCCCAAGCCCCCAGCTTTGTCTTGGACTCCAGAGTTCACTGGTTCTGCCTGGATTGTTCCTCCTGTCTCTCAAGATGAGTCTTCCATCCCTGAATGTTAAGTATCTTGAAAACCACTGTTTCGTGTATTGGTCCTGTTTTTCCTTTTTGGTTATGCCAAGCTGGAGTGCAAATCTGGCCCTTGTTCCTCCATCTTGACTGGAAATGCATTTTCCCACCTGAGTGTAAGCTTCTGGGAGGTGGGGCTGTGTGGCATCTTATTACCATTGAATCATCAGTGCCATATTCTCAGTGCTTCATAATGTGTGGTGAATGAATGAACAAATGAGACAGACCAGTTTGCTTTTGGGAGGAAAAGAAATGAAATCTGATCTGCATTAATCTCAGCAGCATTTTTTATTCTAAGGAAAGGTACAATCCCTTTTACTTGGGGCTTAGAAAGACTGCAAGGATTTGTATTTCTCATATAAATTCCAGTTTGTATTAACATGACTGTTGGGGTGACTATGCCATTTGACATGCATGTTAACTCCTGAACACTGTAACAGCTTGGTCACAGCGTGTTCAAGATTTTGTTCGGGCTCCCTAGAGAACTTTGAAATTTCTATGACCACTGAAAATGCATTTCTCCTCAGTAATACATTACCTGCAGCCAGTCTGAAAAAGCATTATCCATTACTCCAGTCATTTACCTCTACTAAAATTGAGCAAGTTGAGCAAATACACTCTTGTCTAAAAGTTTAAAGCCATGGAAAATTTCTCCCTTTCATCGATTTTTGTTCTAAGCAGTCTTGACAGAATCTACTTCAGCACTTCTCTTATAAAAATTCCCTTTCTCAAAGAATGAGCAAATGTGATCCTCCCTAGATATCCTCAAAGCCAAGGGCTTTGAAACAGCTCTCAGGAGCATTGAAGACAATGTGAGTGAGCTTCTGCACTTCAGACTCCATGGCCAAGGCATTTTTTTCACCCTCTCTTTACCCTCTCTTTGTTCCTAGGGGGCTGAAAGCTTTATATCACATTACCCAGTCTTTGTCTAACATGGGCTAAGAACACCATTCTGCACTCCCATTTGTAACCCAAAACACATCCAAAGGTCCTGCCTTTTATTTTTTTTAAGCTAGATAACCTGCCAGGCAACTTTAGGGATTTCCTATAACCACATGTGCTTTTTTCCCAAGAACCCTGGATGATAGGAGAAAAACTATTGGGGAAAGAACAAGGAGAGCCTGGTGCCGGTGGGAAAAACCCAGGTTTTGAGGTCGATAGGATATACTGGAGTCCCAGAGCTTAGCTCGGGTGTGGCTGGCCCATGAAGAGGTCTTCTAGACCCAAAACCTTTGCCTTCATCTTGAAAATAGGATAGAATGACAGTCACAAGTCACCTGACAATGGGGATGTGTTCTGAGAAATGCATCATTAGGTGATTTTGTGATGGCGTTAGCATCATAGAGTATACATACGTCATTAGGTGATATAATTTAGGAGACCACCATCACACATGCAGTCTACTGTTGATCAATCTACTTGTTATGCAGTGCCTGACTGTGAGACTTTGTTCAAAACCCTTTATAAACTGGGAAGTATTAAACCAACATAAGGCTTATTATTGTCTGATTTGCTAGAGCTGAACAGGGGTCTATTTAACTACCTCCCAACAGGTCGCTGGGGGAAGCAGCACTGCGAAATGAGTCAGCCCTGCTAATCGCTTCAGAGACAGGCTGCTGGTAAAAGTCTACACAGTTCAGCAGATTAGATAGAAATATTAATTATTTCAATGAATCACAGCACTGTCTCATCTAGGTTTGCATTATCATTGACCTATTTTTCTATGTTCTGTCTCCTCTCCCATTATCCTTGAAGAGTAATGTAGGGCCTCACTGTGGGCATGGTTGGTTTTAGGTGCTGTAACTAAGCTGGTATCATCTTTCACTGGCACAAGATTAATTTACTTATGAGACAGGGCTGCTCCCTACCACATGCCAAATTGGTTGACGGCTGAGGGTGGTTTTTACACCTGCTAATAAAAAACCCACTGTGGTTCTGTAGATCAGATTCTGTTACAAAGCGGGGGGGAGTACAGACAAGGTCACATTTTCTTAATCCTAAGACTACAAATTATTTTAAAATAGAGGGGCTTCTACATTTCTGTTTTATTATAAAGAGATTTTTAAATTTTATATATTGTAGCTGGAAACTGATTTCCATACAGTAGTTTCAAGACATCTCTAAATGATACAAGAATGAGGTAATGATTTAGTATAGGAATAAATCTATAAAAATATGCCAAATGTTTAGAGTGTATTAATTATAAAGTCTTTCTTTTGATGCAGAAATCCCTGGATAAAATGATCTATCATATAATGTCATTGTATGTCAGGTAAATTCAAGTTAAGCTTCATAAACAAATCATCACTATGACTGTTTGGTCAGAGGTCTCCATTAAAACAAACCAAGGATGCAAATGTTTCCTTAACATTGTTCCATCTAAATCCTTGATGGAAGTTTTGTTTGTGATCTGCTCCTTGTCACCCTTGTTTTCTCAGTGTGTTATATATAGTTTCAGCTCATACCAAATGAAGACAACATTGATTAGACCTGATTTAAGGCAACAAGTGATAAATGCAGCTGAGAAATTGATACAAGTCTCTCAAGTAACTGGGGCACAGCCTTCCACAGTTGACACAACTCTTGTCTCAAGGCTGGAGAAAACAAACAGGGAAACACATGTCAAACAGATAAATGACTTCAGCTGTCTCCAGCTCTCTGTGGAGGCCATTTGTTCTAAGATAAGGAAGACTGCTTTCCAAAGTCATGAAAAGATAAGCCATAGGAAAAGGATGAATGTGGAACTAGATGCCCAAGCACTTGGAAAACAACAGGAGAAAGGATTTAGCTCTGAGCTGGATCTTGCAGCCCTCACTGCAGACATGCTGTGAGCAGCTCTGCCTCCAGTGCACCAAGTATTATCGGTGGCATGCTACTGTCTTTGAAGATAAGTCCAGACATTTCTTTTTGTGTGTATCTGTGTTGCTGGGGATTGAACCCAGGACCTCACAAATGCTAGAAAACACTTAACCACTGAGCTACACCTCCAGCCTTTTTTTATTTGAGACAGAGTCTCACTAAGTTGCTCAGGCTGGCCTTGAACTTCTGATCCACCTGCCTCAGCCTTCCGAGTAATTGAGATTAGAGACCCTCAGCCCCAGGGAGACCTTTCTGGCCACTCCTGTTAAGAGTGAACATCCAGGGGAAGCATCAACAGGACCAGCTGAACATGAGAGCCCAGCTCCCCCAAGTATTGATGCTTCTAGCAGTGTGACCACCAGCCCAGGAGGCTGCTAAAAGCAAGGCCCCCTAGCATCCAATACCTGTCTGGAGCCTTGCCCATCATACTCAGTTAAATCTTTATTGTGTTTATGTTTCCCACACATGCTCTGTGTCCTCCTGCCTCCAGGTGCTTGCTCCAGGTGCTGTCTTCTCCCTTCCTGGTTATCTGCTTCCAATTTAGCCAGACCCCAAGGCCCCATTTAAGTGCCACTTCCCACAGAACGTCACCCTTCATTCCTCCAGGTTGGAGTTTCTCTCCTTCAAACTCCTAGAACAATTTCTAACAGTCTTAGAGTACTTACTGCTCTCTGCCATCTCCATCACTAAAACACAGACTTGAGTATATGTTTCAACGGTGAATCCCAAACAACACTTACATAATGCCCTATTCACGGAACCCTTTCAGATGACACCATTGAAAGAAAAACCAAATAAGACTAGAAAACTAAGTGGCTTACGAGAATACATGGCATCAAACCCTCGCCAGCACTTTATTAAGTAACCTCCACCTAGCATTACAGAGCCATGTTGTCCTTTTTTGTTTTATTTCACGGATCTTGGTTCTCTTATTATTTTTTTTTTGGTACTGGGGATCGAACTCAGGTCCTTCCACTTGCAAGGCAGGAGGCGGAACCACTAAGCTAAATCCCTGGCCCACTCTTATTTTGAGTGTTTCTGCCAACATTCTAATCGATAAGATAAGTATGTCTTTTCCCACTTCAAGTGGGGCTCTTCATCTCCTGGCATAATCAGCACATATGTTGTCTTTCCCTTCCACCCTCTCTCTCCAAACATGATTCCCAGCACTCTCCACCCACTGCTCCCTGGACCAGCAGG